AAAAGCAAGATTTGACATGTCTGATTAAAAAAATAAAGAAAACCTTAGCACTTTGTGATAAGAAAGAATTTCTTAATGAAGAGAGAAAAAATATTACCATGAAAGGAAACTTGATAACTTCAACTGCAAAGCAATGGATTTCTATCAAAAGACCCCATAAAGTCATAAAACAAGCCACATTCCTGGAGAAAAAATTTGTCACACATGTAACTAACTCAATAAAGACATGAGTTTCAGAATACAAATGACTCCTACAAATCTCCAGTGATAAGAAAACGACAGTGTTGGGCAAAGATCATGAATGAGCATCTTGCAGAAGAAGCACCAATGTACCCAAATATTTGAAAACATCGGCTCAACCTTGTTAGTGATCAGAGAACCACAGTCTTTACAACCGAGTTGTCATTCTGCACCCAACAGAGAGGCCAAAGTTTATGTCTGAATACCACATTCATCCCCACTTGGAAAAAGGGCTTGGCATTATTTTATGTAGTTGAGCATGCACGAGCTCTGTAACCCAGTATTCTAGCTCCAGGCATCGATCCAAGGAGAACTGCTCAAACACATCAACTCAAAGACATGCAAAAGAATATTCAAAGAAGCAGCTTTCATAAGAGCAAACAACTGGACAGCAGAATACTATGCTATGACCTGGAATACTATTCTGCCTTGAAAATGAAGGGCACGTCAAGGTGCTCATCTTAGTAACATCAAGCTGAGAGAAAAAACAAGTCCACAAGATGCAGTACACACCGTATGATACAATTTCTCAAAATTGAACAATAAACAAGCCTAAACTGCATGTTATTTAGGGATGCCCACACAATATGATACAAAATTTTAAATTAGCAAAGGAATGACAAGTTCAAAATACAGAATAGGGTTTCCTCTATTGGAGAAGGCAGAGGTTGGAATGGGGAGTTATAGATCTGTAGCTTCCACCACGGAGTATATTAAATAAGGGCTTCACAAAAGTTGGGTATTATTATTATTACTAATTTGCAGTACTGGGGATTGAATCCAGGGGTGCTCTACCACTGAGCTATATCCTCAGTCCTTTTTATTTTTTATTTTTTTACATTTTATTTTGAGACAGGGTCTTGTTAGGTTGCCCATGCTGGCCTTGAATTTGCCATCCTTCTGTCTCAGCCTCTGAAATTGCTGGCTTTATAGGCCACCATACCCAACTTTATTATATTCTGTAACATCTTCATGTACCATATATTATATGATTTAAAATATTAGTAATGGACTGAGGGACATAGCTCAGGGACAGATTCTGTGTTTAGTGGAGACAAGGTCCTGGATTCAATCTTCAGCACCAGAAAAAAAAAAATGTTAATGACTATGAAAAGACACAGGAGGCATATCCAAAATCTGTAAGGGGGCCACCTTCCATGTGAGCCCCTTCATTTAGGATTGCAAACTCTTACACCTGTTGAACCACGACGCAAAGGAAAGACCACCAACTTCAATTTCAAATCAAATTAAAGCAAGCTTGTACTTGTGTACACTGGAGCTGGCCAGGACTGTCTCTCCTGAAAACCTCAGATTAGAGATCAGTACCCCAGCTCTCCAGGAATAAGGTTTTATAGAACAAAAAGTTGCAAAGGGGGGTGTCTTGAGAACTTATAGTTAACAGGATTTTGACAAGCAGAATACAAAGGCAGATAGTAGGTTAATGATCTAGATGGCATGCTATTTTCAAGGTAGGGAGTGAATTCAGATCCCAACATCAGAATCTATGAGGCACCGCCAAGATTTCAGAGAAGGTTGTTTTCTGGTCGGGAAGAGCCAGGCATGAGCGAATTCAAGGCACGGGCAGGAATTCCAAACAAGTTCAGAAACTGCAGTAGTTTATAGTTAAAACAGAAATTAACTTTTCATGACTTTGTGACAAGATGGCTCCCAGTCTTAACATGGAATGAGGCTGGGTTCATCACATTCATATGATCATGACACATTGTTGGGTATTAAAGGTACTTTTGGGGGGAAAGTCCCTATTAGTCATTGGTGTGGGTATAGAGACTATGTTGTCCATTTCCATTTCCTGTTGCTAGAACAAAACACCTGGGATTGGGTAATTTATAAAAAAAGGAAGTTTATTTTGGCTCACAGTTCTGGAGCACGCTGTAGCCCAAGAGCACGCTGTAGCATCTGCTCAGCTTCTGCTGAGGGTCTCAGGCGGCTCTGCTCTTGATGAAGAGTGGAAGGGCAGATAGGCATGTGTGGAAGAGGAAAAAAAAAACAACTGAAGGGTAAACTTGCTTTTTAACAACCTGCTCTTGCAGAGGACAGAAACCTACTCACTCCCTTGAGGCACCTTTGATCCATTCCTGAAAGCTCAGCCCAGGACCCCAACACCTTCCCCAGGCCCCACTTCCCAGAACTGTCACGTTGAGGAATTAGGAGCAGAGACTCTGACTCTTTTCTTTAAATATTTTTAGTTGTAC